ATTTTAAAACAAATATATTTAGCCCATACATCACACGGGTTAACCATATAAAAGTAGTGTTTTTCCTTTTCTTAGAGCATCTCCAACGATGCATTAATTTTTTCTTCAAATTTGAGTAAAAAATTGAGTAAAAGCTTCATTTGATATCAAGTGCTCTAACGGAGAATTTTGGAGCTTTATTAGAACACCGGACATTCCCCCGATCGATTGGCCAATGTAAAAAAAAAATATTTGTTTTTTTGTTTTTTTTTTTGCCTTGGGATAGTCGACTGGCCAGTGCAATTTTTTTACAAAGTTTTGCCTTAAGATGGTCATTCGGGGGACGTCCGGCAACGGTAATGAACAGTAGTTTGATAAAATGCACATTGATCCTCAGTTTGATGATAGAAAAAGTGAAATTCTCAATTTGATACTCATTTGATGCAATTGTTGGAGCAACAAAAGGACTCAATTTTTATCAAATTTAAATTTGATGAAAGGTTTGAGTAATCATTGGAGAAGGTCTTAGACCATCTCCAACGGTTCACCAAAACTGATATCAAATTCAAATTTTGATAAAAAAGCTGTTGTTCACTGCTCCAACGGTTGCACCAAATGAATATCATATTGAGATTTCATCAAAAAATTTATCAAACTGACGACGAAATATTGATTTCACCAAAACATTGTTGGTGACCGTTGGAGAGAGACCAACCGGTCAACCAGCCGGTTGCCCGGCCGGTTGACCACAAAAAGGTTCAAACAGTTCCAAGAAAAGGTTCAAACAGTAATAAAAAAAAATAAAAAAAAATTTGCCTTACCGATTGACCAGCCGGTCAACCACTAAAAGGTTCAAAAAGTTCAGAAAAAAAAATTTTAAAAAAAAAATTTCGTTTAACCGGTCGACCAACCGGTTGTCCCGGCGCAAATTTGATGAAAGTTCACCGTTTGAGCGAGTGATATCAGATTTGGTAAAATGGGTAATTTTTTACTCAGATTTGATGAAAAAAGAAATGCACCGTTGGCGATGCTCTTAGATGGCATATTCTAAGCACTTATTTTATTTTTATTTTTTTCTTAAAAAACCACATTAGCATGCATTTCCCATTTACATTTCCCATTTACATATTGAGTTCTACACAAATTCAAACTTAATTTAAATTATACTTGGACTCTATTTGAGAAATACTTCTTTTTCATATATTTTGAGTTTTACATGAAATCTAACTACAAATTCTATATGAATTATACTTTGATTATACAAAATTTCCTACATTATTTTATATAATTACAACTCACAGAAGAAAAAAAGGAAAAAAAAAACTTGCACAAAAATCATACTTTTGAAGAATTTCTGAAGTTTGAATTTACTACTTAAGTTACTTTTTAAATTGTTGAACAATAAGTTATTATATGCTTTGATATCATATTACAAATGATTAATCACCTCATACTCTAAGATGTATCTTTCGTTTGGATTTATTTATTTATTATTTTTAGGTTTAAATGTTGTTATGAGATTCTTTCTTGGTTAGTCGGTATTGAATTTATTTTATATAGTTGATATTTTAATTCAATTAAGAGTGTTTATTTTTTCAATCTTATTATTTAATATATATCATATAAAATCATTACATGATAATCCAATTACAATATATTTAGGGCGAATTACACTAAAGGTCTCTATAGTTTAGGCCTTTTGTCATTTTGGTCCCTGACTTTTCAATTGTGACACATTTGATCATAAATTTTGAATCTTGTTTCAAATAGGGACAATTGAATATACTATTGATCAATTTCAAGGGTAAAGTTGTCAATTTGATAAAATATAAACTAATTTGACAAAAATAAATGCCAAAAAATATTTTTAAATTTTTAAAAATTGTGTTCTACTCACCAATGATAAAATTATGTAAAACTGATAAATCTTTTACATATTTATTTTTTAAAAAAAATTAATTTTATTATATGTTTGGATGATAATCACGTAATGGGTGGTTGTTTTTGTTTTCATTAAATTAGTTTCTATTTTTTCAAAAGTCAAATATGGCTACAACTTTGATATCATTATTAAACTAATCTATTAAATTAAAAAATTCAAAATTGAAAACATTTCATATTTTAAATATGTCGATTACACATTAAAAGCCTAACAATTACCTATTACATGATCATCATCCAAACACATAATGAAAACTAATTTGGTAAAAAAAAAAATGAATATGTAAAAGATTTATCAATTTTACATAATTTTATCTTTGGTGGGTAAAATAATTTTTAAAAAATCAAAAAAAAAATTTTTGACATTTATTTTTGTAACAACCCGAAAATTTAAGTTGTTCCTTAAATTTTATATTAGTATAATGGTTGTATGTGATAATATATTATTAAATAAATAATAATAAATACAGAATCTAATTTGACATTGGATTATCAAATATAGGATTAATTAGGGATTATTATTTGGGGCCAAATTAACAGAAATATAGAATTATAATACAAGTTGGGCCAAATTAAAGTTAAAGATAGTAAATAAATAAATATAAAAGTAATAATAATAATAATAATAATAATAATAATGGGTATGGTAATAAAATAAATAATAATTTTCTGTTAATATACGATAGAATGTAATTTAATTAAAAATTAATTTATTTATATAGTTCTATTAAAAAATTCGATCAAAATGTAAGATAAGTATAAATCTATATAATTTATTAATCAAATTTGAGAAAGATACGCCACGTAGCTAACGTTCTTACCTCCCTACGTGGGGAGGAGGTGATCAACTGAAAAAAAAAATAAAAAATAAAAAAATAAAAAGAGTAATGGAAGTCGTGAGGGTCTTTAGTTGTGGAAAAAAAGAGTCAGGTATTAAAGTTAAGGTGAGTTATATTATACCTTGAGTTACCATAATATATTTTACGTATGTTTTAGCTTACCATAATTTATTTTATGCAAGTTATATTTTATAAGTTATATTAATTCAAGTTATGTTTTAGAAATATTTTAGTTACGTTGATTAATTTCTAAACTCTATTTGTTTAAATGAAACCCATGAATATGTTTGTTTAACTTTTAAAAAATATTTGACTATGACCTTATAAATAATTATGTTTTATAAGTACCTTCACGAGAGTCTCACGCCTTGGGAGACTTAAATAACATTGTGCTCTGTTTAATCACTTTGTGACTCTCTATTGTCATAGATCCATTGACCTCTGTTCTGTGCAGATCAAAATGTTGTGCGGAGATAAGTGCTACACTATTGTGGGGGTCACCTCAATAATCCGTACAAGTCACATCTTGAATCCATATCTCTGTTCTGACTATCATTCCTGTGACCTCTGTTCTGTTCTGTTCGGTACCGTGGCTATGGTTATTTATTTATATAATCTCAGTTTTACTACTTAAATGATTATTTGTTCAGACTAAATTATCTTAAATATTTTAGTTACATAACTATCCATGGTTATTTTGTATTCCTTATACTCTTGGCATAATATTTCTCACTCTACTATGTGCTTATATTTACCAATTTTCAAGAAACAATGTAATTCAGAAATAGTTATTGGAAAGTATTAGACGCAGGGCTGCGGAATAGACACACACAGCACTTTTATAATATTTTATATATAAATATCGACATTTTTGGTCAATAAATTTTATTATAAAAATAGAAACTCTAATGATTATTTTAGTACCCTCACTTAAATATTATTTCCGTTCACATTTATTAATTTGTTTAAGAATTAGCCGGAGGTAACCTCCGTTACTGGCCATCATGATACTTAACACTTGGGTACGGGGAGCGGGTCGTGACAATTTTTGTCAAATTAATTTATATTTTATCAAATTGACGACTTTGCCCTTGAAATTGAGCAATGGTATCTTCAGTTGTCCTTATTTGGAATAATATTCAAAATTCAGGGTTAAATGTGTCACAATTGAAAAGTCAGGGACTAAAGTGACACAAGTCCTAAATTATAGGGACTGTTAGTGTAATTTGCCCATATATTTATATTTAATTTTTTTCAATAAATTTTATATAGTTTCTCTTTCTACATATTTTTATTTTTCAAATAAATATAAAATAAAGTTAAATAGTTAGTATTATTTTTAATCTTATGGCACTAATTCTTCTTCTAATTTAACTTTTATTTTTAATATCAAAATGATAATTACATTTTTATAATACAATAAAATTAAAATTATCAAAATACACAAATAATTTAACTAAAATTAATATATATAAGTATTCAAGTAATATTTTTATACAACGATAACGTTAATATTATCAAAATAAATAATTAAAATCATACTTTAATTTTAATTTTGATTGAAAATCAAAATTAATTTTTTTTATAATACACATTATACTGTCAAATATTTTTTTAAAAAAATAGCACGTACACGGCACATGTCGACTATGAGTTCTAATAAAAATGATTAATTGTAAAAGAAGAATATTTTAAAGCAATTAACTATTGGGTTTTGAAGTTGAGAGGGACAAAATGGCAAATAAATAATTTACTGTAATTTATCCTTAAAAAAAATTCCATTAATAATATTTTTAAAAATACCATTATCTAATTTTGTTATACAAAATTTATTTAAAATTTTACAATTGATCAATTTCTTCTTTAAAGAATCCTTTTTTAAAGAAAAATGTTTGGTGGCCACAATATTCGCGGCTCAAATGGCTCGAATTGACCAAAACGACATCGTTTTGTGTCTAAAACGACGTCATTTTAATCAATTCAAGCCATTTGAACCTGAGAAATCCGGGCTCTCTATCATTGCTATTTTTTAAATGTTAGTCCATGGAGGGGATTTGGTATACGGAGAGGAGAGAGAGAGACTTGGGACTTTTTGTGGGGATAGATAAATTTGGAAGGTTGTTATACAAAATTTATTTAAAATTTTACAGTTGACCAATTTCTTCTTTAAAGAATCCTTTTTTAAATGTTAGTCCATGGAGCGGATTCGATTTGGTATACGGAGAGGAGATTGAGGCATGTTCTTACTGATCTCTTCTCTAATCTATGTAATTGTGTAAAAATTTCTGTGTGCTGAAGAATAATCTGGTTTGGTTCTTTACTTTATTAATTTTCTCGTGATTATATCCGAAAATGGTTCCAAATTTGAGCTCTGGTGATTCTATGTGTATGCTTTATTTTGTGATTGTGAAATTCAGGGAATTTTTTGGTTAACTTTCTGGGTATATTTCAGTATAAATGTACGTTGTGTGTTCTGATTGTCAAATTCATGGATTTTGGGTTGTATATGGGTTAGCTTGTTCTTTGTTATTTAGGGTTTTTGATTCTATATCTGGGTCTCTTCCACTTGACTCTGAAGGTGGCTAGCGAGTAAAAATGAATTTCTGACCACTTCACTTGCTTATATATATATATATATATGTTAAATTTATTTATGTCGTCTTCAGATAAGTAGGTTCCTCCTTCCCACTTGAATTATGCTTCACTGCTTGTATCAAATTTCAAATGGGGTATTACCAATTTTGTTTTTTTTTTCCAAATCAGAACCCCCAATCTTGCTTCCTTTTCTTTTTATTTATTTCACCTCTCTTTACTTTTTTGTTTTTGGGTATGCGTGAATAACTATTGGCTCAGGAAAATTTTAATCTCTTAGCTTTGTGGGAAATGACTACTTGTAATTGTAACCTAATGTTCCTTAAATTGTCTTCCTTTATTTATTTTTTCAATTTTTTTGGACAAATAAGAATTATGTGTTGGATTAACAGCATTGCAGTTTCCAAACAAGGTTTAAGAGATGTGGATACTTTGTCTAATATTTTAGGCTACTTTTTAGTCCATGTGAGGTTTACTTTTACAGGAATCTTCTTTTCTTGCTTTGTGCTTTTCCCCTCATCAATCTGTGTCTCTCCTTTTTTTTCTTTTATTTTTTCTTTATTTTTTATATTTTTTATATGGTTATTAAGTTTTGTAGATTTTTTTTTTGAACTAAATCATTTATTGTTATGCAGGTATATATGCTCACAAATGTTGTTGAATATATAATTTATGCAAACATATTGGATAAAGCTATCTATAAACATTCTGGTAGGTGTCAACAGAGTAAATGTCATTCCGCAGCGTAGTCCGTGATGTAAGGGATGGCTTTGGGAGCTTATCAAGACGGAGTTTTGAGGTGAGGCTGCCTGGGCATATCAGGGGGAAATCTCATGGTGCCGTCCATGGGTTGCATGACCAGCCTTTTGTCATCCAGAATAGCTGTTGGGCTAGCCTCCCACCAGAACTTCTTCGTGATGTGATTAAGAGGCTGGAGGCAAGTGAGAATACATGGCCTGCTCGCAAGCACGTTGTTGCATGTGCTGCTGTGTGCAGGTCATGGAGAAAAATGTGCAAAGAAATTGTCCAAAGCCTTGAATTTTCAGGGAAGATTACCTTTCCAGTCTCCCTGAAGCAGGTGGGTTTTCTGTTTTATTGTCTTGCTTTTCATAATTGTATTAATAAATTTTTCTTAAAAATGAATAAAGTTTCTCTCATAGCTGCATGGTCATTTACATTTCCGATTCATTTCTTTTTACAGCCAGGACATCGAGATGGAACCATTCAGTGCTTCATTAAGAGAGACAAAGCTAATCTAATTTACCACCTTTTCCTTTGCCTTAGCCCTGGTAAGATCAGGTTTTTAACCATTTACGTGCTACTAGCTTGTGACCTTTCATTTGTCTCTTGTGACCTGTCCTGTGGAGATAAATAGTCATCTTAAATTGCATGTAATATGCTTCCCTGGGATTTTTCTTTATTTAGGGGTTGTTTGGGAGTTGGCTTTTTTGACTTCTTGCAAAAAGACGTGCTAAAAAGTGGAGAAGATGGGTTGACTTTTTGTAGTGGCTTTTTGACTAAAAACATGAGTTCCCGAACAAGGTCTTAATGATGAATATTGAATTGGGGCAAAAGCATAACCATTTGGTTCGTAATTTCATAATGCTTGCTTTAGTTAGGATTGGTGAACTGAGTTTACTACTGCTGTGTCAATGTGGTATATGCATTTCACAGATCTTTTTGGTCTTGAGCATTAATTCTGAAACATACCCTCCCCCTTTAGGCTAAAACTAGTTGACTTATCTGATATGTGGGACAAAACTTGTTTTCCAGTCCAGTGGGACGAGAATCTTGGCATTGTTGTTCTGAATCTGCCTTCAGCTTCTGGAAATTCTGGAATCTATGTTTACACCTAGAACTTTTGAATGCATTCTTACTGTCTTTATATTTATCTGCCAGTTTTTAGATTACTAATTTACTGAAGGAGATCATGTTTATTAAACTAGTTGCCTTATCTGATATGTGAGAAAACTTGTTTTCCAGTCCAGTGGGACGAGAATCTTGGCATTGTTGTTCTGAATCTGCCTTCAGCTTCTGGAAATTCTGGAATCTATGTTTACACCTAGAACTTTTGAATGCATTCTTACTGTCTTTATATTTATCTGCCAGTTTTTAGATTACTAATTTACTGAAGGAGATCATGTTTATTAAACTAGTTGCCTTATCTGATATGTGAGAAAACTTGTTTTCCAGTCCAGTGGGACGAGAATCTTGGCATTGTTGTTCTGAATCTGCCTTCAGCTTCTGGAAATTCTGGAATCTATGTTTACACCTAGAACTTTTGAATGCATTCTTACTGTCTTTATATTTATCTGCCAGTTTTTAGATTACTAATTTACTGAAGGAGATCATGTTTATTAAACTAGTTGCCTTATCTGATATGTGAGAAAACTTGTTTTCCAGTCCAGTGGGACGAGAATCTTGGCATTGTTGTTCTGAATCTGCCTTCAGCTTCTGGAAATTCTGGAATCTATGTTTACACCTAGAACTTTTGAATGCATTCTTACTGTCTTTATATTTATCTGCCAGTTTTTAGATTACTAATTTACTGAAGGAGATCATGTTTATTAAACTAGTTGCCTTATCTGATATGTGAGAAAACTTGTTTTCCAGTCCAGTGGGACGAGAATCTTGGCATTGTTGTTCTGAATCTGCCTTCAGCTTCTGGAAATTCTGGAATCTATGTTTACACCTAGAACTTTTGAATGCATTCTTACTGTCTTTATATTTATCTGCCAGTTTTTAGATTACTAATTTACTGAAGGAGATCATGTTTATTAAACTAGTTGCCTTATCTGATATGTGAGAAAACTTGTTTTCCAGTCCAGTGGGACGAGAATCTTGGCATTGTTGTTCTGAATCTGCCTTCAGCTTCTGGAAATTCTGGAATCTATGTTTACACCTAGAACTTTTGAATGCATTCTTACTGTCTTTAGTGGAAACTTCCGCTCGAGCGTGGACCTTGTATGAATCGCGGAATATGCAGTCTTCGCTCGAGCGGGAATTCCCACGCTCGAGCGGACCGCGCGAACACATATTCTATAAATTCACATGTTGGGTCTGTTTTAGGATTACTTCTGCTAGATCTTGTTTAAGGTTTTTTAGGGTTTTGTTTGAGTTTTTCTTCTGGAGATTTTTGTGAGTTTTCCTTGATGTTTTGAGAGAGTTCTTCACTCATGATCTAAGATACATACATCAAGGAGTTTGTTACTTTATAATTCAAGAGAGTTCTCTTCGGTGGATTCCGAAGATTCAAGCGTAGAGTTTCAAAAGGCATTTGATTCTGTTCGTAGTCGTTAATTCGACAAGTGAAGTTGTGGATTCAACTTCACGATTGATCTGTTCCGAGACGAAGGCGTGGTGAAAGAGTTACAGAAGATTCAAAGACAAATTGATTGAGTTGGGTAATTTGTGTGTTATCTTTGTAATCTTTCTTTCTTCAGTAGTGGATTGATTAGTGGCGTTTCGCCCGTGGTTTTTTTATTACAATTGAAGGTTCTTCAATTGTGGTTTTTTCCACGTAAAAATCGTTTGTGTCGATTTATTGTTTATTCAGAAAAACAACAATCTAAATCACTTTCGTAAGTGCTTGATGATTTAGATTGCGTGTTTTGAATTATTGGGATTTCGAATATTTTAATCTTGATCTAATCACGAATCACTTAGGATTTTCAATTGGTATCAGAGCAGGTCACACTTTGTTTTTATCTAAACTATAGGAGTGTGATTTTGTGTGACTAGTGATATGGATTCTATTCGTGAAGGTAACATGGCCCATAGACCTCCTTTGCTCGATGGTACAAACTATTCTTACTAGAAATGTCGTATGAGAGCATTTTTAAAATTCATCGATGAGAAAGTCTGGCACTGCGTGATCTATGGGTGGAGTGAACCTACTATCACCATTGATGGTGTTGATATTCCTAAACCCCTTGATAAATAGGACACAACTGATTACCAAAACTTGAGTTGGAACAGTAAGGCTCTCAATTCCCTATTTTGCTCCGTCACACCTGAAAAGTTTTGTCGTATCTGCACGTGTGAGGTAGCAAAAGAGGCTTGGGACATTCTTGAAACGATTCACGAAGGTACTACTTTTGTCAAAAGGTCAAAACTTTAACGTCTCACCTCTGCCTTTGAAACCCTTTTTATGCGCGATGATGAGACGTTTGATGATTTCTATGCAAAACTTAGTGATATCGTGAATTCCTATTTCACACTCGGGGAAAAAATCCCGGAAGCTAAAGTTGTTGGAAAAATTTTGAGGTCCTCAGCCGAGAGGTTCCAATCAAAAGTGACAGCCATTGAGGAGGCTCAGAATGTTGATACCCTCAAGCTTGATCAGTTGGTTAGAAACTTGTAGACTTATGAAGCCCACCAGATTTCAAAGAAAAAACAAAAAGATAGTGTGGCTTTCACTAGTGCTCATGAGACTACAAAAACTCCGGAGACTAAATTTGATTTAGAGTCTGAGATGACGGCTATGTTTACTAAACAGTTTAAAAAAAAATTGAAGAAAAAGAAGCTTAATTTCAGAGACCCTATTTCAAAACACAAGAGTAATGAAAAACCCAAAACTTTTCCACCAAAACTTGCTCCAAAAACTTAAAAGAAGATTGTAAAGGGGCAAGGGGTCAAGTGCTACGAATGTTAAGGGTTTGGTCATATTTCCCTTGAATGCCCTTCGAAAAAGAATCGAAAGAAAGTCTACACTGTGACTTGGGATGATGAAAACGGGTCAAAGAAAGAACCCGAAGAACCTGAATCTGGTGAAGATGGGGATAGTGCTTTCATGGCATTTTGGTCCACTTTCACTCAACCTCTTCCAAAGCTAGCAGAATTAGCTCTTGGTCAGAACCTGCATCATGCTCCCACCTTTGATGGGAGTAACTACCTATATTGGAAGATCAGAATGAGGGTATTTTTTTAGAGCTTTTGACCCAAAAGGCTGGCAAGCTATTGAAGAAGATACAGAAAGTGCTGACAATCCGAGCAATCAGAGAGCCCTGATTACTATTCGTGGAGCAATTTCTGATGAAGAACAGCAACGGGTTGCTCATTGCACAAAGGCTAAAGATGCATGGGAAATTCTGAGCCAATTTCATGAAAGAGGAGTTTCACCTTCACCACCATCACCTTCACCACCATCCAGCAACTTTCCTGCCTTAGTTGCTAGATTGGATGAGGTCAAGGAGAATGAAGAGCAAAAAAATGATGATGAAACATCTGAAGACAATGATGAGATTAATGGTGATAAACTACAACAAGCTTACGAAAAGCTTTACGAGGAATCTCTGAATTTGTCCAAAATCAATGACAAACTCTCTCTCAAGCTCAAAGCATGTGAAAGTGAGAATGTCAAGCTAAAAGGAGAACTTGTAGCAGCAAAACAGAATATCATCAAGATCTCAAGTGACAGGCAAGACTTATGTGGAAAACTTCTATCCTGTGAAACTGAAATGAATGAACTTCTGAAAGTGTATTCCACATATGAAGAGAAACTTGAAAGCCTTGAGATGTCACAAGCTACATTGGAAGAGATAGTCTGTCAGAAAGATGAAGAACTTCGTTTTTCTAGAGCCACAATTGCCATGTGGAACAAAGGTTCCAAATCTCTAGAAGATATCCTCGGGTCTCAACAAATGGGTTGTGACAAAAGTGGGCTAGGCTATGGTGCGACAGCTCACAAGGGACATGCCTCTACTTCACATGACCTGAAGACTCAAGCAAAGGGAAAGTTGAAGGTAGACCAGGGTGATCCCTCTCTTCATCTACCTAAAGTTGGTAAAATCAACAAAAGGGAGTTAAAACCTGTTTTTATTTGTCATCATTGTGGCAGGTATGGCCACATTCGTCCTTATTGCTTTGCATTGTTTGGTAAGGTGTCTCAAAAGGGTAGAACTTCGAATACTTTTTGGGTTAGGAGACAACCTCACATGTCTAGGCGGAATACCAAGATTCATGAGGGTGTTCACAATGCCAAGACATTTACCAAGACCACTAGACCTGATTTTGTTAAGACCAAAAAGATTTGGGTAAGAAAAGATGATTTGACTTGTTTAGTTGTTCACACTGCTCTCAAAGCACGTGACTCACACATGTGGTATCTTGATAGTGGGTGCTCTCGTCACATGTCCTGTAACAAATCCTACTTCACCTCCCTTGAAAAATATAAAGGAGGAATTGTTACCTTTGGAGATGGCGGCACTTCTAGAGTCATTGGTAAGGGCTCTATAAGTGTTGCTGGTATTTCCAAGCTTGAAAATGCCTTGTTGATGGTCTTAAAGCAAATCTTTCGAGCATTAGTCAAATGTGTGATTCCCATCATGAAGTATTGTTTTCAAAAAATAAATGTGAAATTTTGGATAAAAAGGGAAATATTGTCTTGCATGGGGTTCGCACATCTGATAACTGTTATGGGATTGTTACTACTAATGATCTCACTTGTCAGTCTGCCATCATAAGTAACATTGACTTGTGGCATCAAAGATTAGGTCATATGAATTTC